AATTTCTTTTTTTATTCTTTCTTCTAGTTTTTTATCATTACTTAGCAAATCGGCATCTTTATTAAGATAGCCATAAGTAGAAAATTCTTTCAATAGTTCGCTATTCTCTTCACTTAAAGAAATTCAAGGAAAATATTGATGGTAAGAAATAAGATGATTTTCGAGGTGTAATTTTTCTTTTCTAAGCAAATTAGTTATTTTTTCTTCAATAATGTTATTCATACTTTGTTAAAACCATGCTGTTATGTGATTTTTCTTGGCGTCGCTTAAACGCTTAGCCCAGCCACTTCAAACTTTATCCTGCAAAGGCAGGCGTAGTTTTTCCACATAGCCAATCAAACTATCCAAAGAAAAATTTTCTATATATCCCCGTAAAAGTCTAGCCGCAGTATTTTTATCTAAGCCTAATTTGTTAGCTATTTCTCTTTCTTCAAGATTATTTTTTATTTGATAACGGGTGATGGCTTGGCTAAACTGGTATTTAGTTTTTTCGAAAATATTAGCCTTCTGGCTGGGCATTCAACTTCCTAGACATGCATCACTTTCTACTCACTGAAAAACTTTTTCTTCCTCGTTGTCATCAAGCGGAGTTTTAGTGATTTCTTTACTATTTTTTATTCTAGTTTTCATAATAAGTCATTTTTAATCGTAGTCGGATGGCAAGTTCGTACTCAAAGATAAGCATCTACTTCTTTTCACCATCATCAAACTAGCTTGTATCTTTTGTCGTCTTTTTCGGGGTAATCTTTAAAATAGTTTTTTTGTTTAGTTTGCTGGCCACTAAAAGGAAAATAGCGAGTGTCTAGTAATTGGACTAATTTGATTATTAATTCTTTGCTAACTCCATGCTTTTCATGCTTATCACAATGAGAACTAATTAAAATACGCTTAATTATTCTTTCGTTAGCTATAATTGGTTTTTCCAAAGAATAAAGGTAATAAGTAATTACTTCTTTTTTGGCTACCGGGGGCGATATTTCTTTACTTGCCATGGGTTATAAAATATTTTTTAAGTCTAATCTTTTTTCGGAGAGGGTATTTTTCTAATTTTTTTATTCTCCTTTTTGTCATTTATGAAAAAGCAGCTCCCTTACAAAAAACTCAAATCCTCAGCCAACTTATGGCACCCTTGGGTCAAGTAAATAATTCAGTGTAATATTACTGTTTTACGATCCTCCTATTTTTTAAGTAATCAACCTACATTTTTCGCTACTTCCGCAAGCACTTTTTTTGGTTTTTCCTCAAAAGTTCACAGGTTTTTGCTTACATTCTAAAAACAACAACTTTTAAATTGATTCTTTTTTTTATATCTCTTTTAATTCATCAAATCCATCGTCATGAGGTTGGTATAGATTTGAGTTTTCTTTAATTTCTCCCTACCCATATTTTTCCAAGCAACTTTTACAAATTCCGCTTTTTTTCATCTAATCCTTTAACCATTTTTCCGCATTCGGAGCATTTTGCTTTCTCGCTGGCACCTCAGTAATCGTCAAGTGCTTTTTCGGCTTGGCGAACGTATGATACTAATGGATAAAAAATGAGAGATTTTTCGGAAAGGTTTTGATTGGCAAAAGATAAAGAATGTTCTTAACTACAAATATGTTCTTCTTTTCAGTTTCTTTCATTACAAGGACAATAGACAATAGCATTTTTTTGGCTTGTTTTCAAAGTCAAATTCATCGGTACAAAGAAAACATTGTTTCCCTAACAGTTTAATTTTGTTGTCTTTTTCAAAATAGTGGGAATCTATGCCGCTATCTTTGATTACTTTACCTAACGAACTAATTTCAAGAAAATACCTTTGCCCGGCTTGTGGTATGGAACGTTTTCAGATAGAATGGTCTGCACTAACGGCAAAACAGGAACTAGATCCTCCTGTGTATTTTAAACTATCTTCTCATATAAAAAATCAATAAAATTTACCATTTTTAAATGAAGGAGTGGAATTTACGATCCTTACAATTACTGGAATAAGTTTTTCTTTTGTTTCTTTCTTTTTGTTTTTCTAGATTCTAGACAGAAAACTAAGGTGCAAACGAGGCTCAGTACTATTACTGCTGTAATAATCAAATTTCCTTGAACATTAGTCTGCTTTCTTGGAAGATGAGGTTCGTAAATTTCGTAAGTGTTGGTAGAAGGAACATAGGCTAAATTTGCTTTTTGTTGAAATTTTTTTGAGCCTTTTGGTTTTTCTTTAAATGTTTTTTTATTCATGTTTTAGTTTATACTGGTTGTCGAGAACCCAACAATGCTCTCTCCTCATAATCGGAAATTCAAAAATAATTTTTTCGTAGCGAGCAATCGGCTGAATTTCTTTATCAATTTTTTTTAGTTTAATTACTCCTAAACTATTTAAGGCTTGACAATCTCGCCAGACATTCGCATAGTCTTTGCCTAAAAATTTAGCTAACTGGTAAATGTTCCCCGGTTGCTTTTCCACCAAGCAATTTAACAAATCCAATCTAGCTTGACTAATTACTTGATAAATAGTAGCTAAATCGCTAAAAACTACCACATTCTTAGGTTGTAAATGTTTTTTCCCCGCGATAGCTTGGTCAAAATGATTAAACATTTTTTTTAATGAGTAATCGGGTTGATATTGAATAATAAACTTTTTCATACTAATTTCAGTCAAAATCACCAAAGAGTTCACACGCTAGCCGGTGAAATAATTTCTTCGTCTCTTGCCAAGAAATCCAAGTAAAATAAGTCTGCTTGTCATCAAGGTGATAATGTGGACCTTTGCCTGAATGGTTATCCAAACGAACTAGTTCAGCAGGATTTTCCAAATTTCTTGCCATGATTTTAAATTTAAAGTTTTTGGGAAATTCTGGACGTGATTCACCAATTCTTTTTTTAATTCCATGACAATAACAATGGTATATCCGAGACTAGTTTTTAATACTCACTTGTCTTGGTTTTCTCATAAGAAACGAGGTTTCATTTATATATGTATTTTTAGCACATATAGATATTTTTAGGTTTTTTGCTTGCTAATTTACAATTTCCCTAATTTTTTATATTCGTTAAACTTGGCTTGCCGTAAAGGTGGCATTTTTTCTTTGGTCTTTGCTAAAAATTCTCTACTCTATCTTTAATTTTTTTTGCCTTTATGCGATCAATTATTAGCAATAACTTTTCAACACTATTCTCTAAAAAAACACAAAAAATTAAAAAAAATGTAAAAAGAAACATTATGGTAAACTCCCAAGGATGATTAAATGAAAATTATCCCATAAGTTAAAATAAATTTATAACGATGAAAATATTTAAACTTTTAGCCTTGCCTTTCATAGTTTCAGGACCTGAGAGACTTCCTAATGTTGGCTATTTAAGCAGTGGGTACGATATTTATAAGGGTAATCCAAGAGAAACAGGCAGCGTTGATCCTGGTTTTAGATTAGAATCTATTTTTAATCTTACCTTAGATGGTGGAACTACGTCCGATGGAAGATATATTTTGCCAAAAGGCGTTGTAGCCGAGCAATGTATTTCTTGCATTATAGATAAGGAAATCGTTTTCTGACCACATTAATGCTCGTGCGTCAGGATTAATTCCGTTTGGTAAGTGAGGTGTAGATGCTAGTTTTGAATTTGATGCCCGATGAGATACTTCCGAAGCTAAGGAACAAAGGCACGAGGAAAGCAAGAATTTTACCATTAGTGAACAATTTACTTTTCCTCCGTATAGTAAAACTGATATTTCTTTTCTCTTACAGCAGGTTAACTATAATTTAGATTTTGGTGCCGATATAATTATTGGTGGGTTTTTTTTCATCAGGGGTACGCCTGTTAATGGTGATGGGTATTTTCGAGGAGTAATTGAACCTGGCTACATCTTTCAAAGAATTCAAGCTCGTCCTGATATATATTCTGAGCAGGTAAAAAAACTAGACGAGCCTTATTTTACACTAAACAAAAAAGAAGGAGACTAATGTTACTGGTAGGATGAAAGGAGTTTATTGCTATAAATTGGATAGTAAGAAAAATAGCACACCATTGGGCAATCCTTTTCCTACTAAAACAGTGACAGAGACCAAAACTGAAACTAAAACTGAGACGGCTACCCAGACAATGACAGTAGCTCCCACTAATCAAGCCAACTATTTAACTCCTAATAAATATGCTTCAATTGGTTTGGCATTATTAGCCGGACTTTTACTTAAATCTTAATTGGCAATTTACATAGTCTAGTTTGATTTTGCCCTAATATCATTCATCGTCAATAAAAGCAATCTGCCAAGCCATTTTGGCTTGCTCCATGATTCCTTTACTAGCAACTCCTAAATGCTTTTCTAAACGCAATTCTTTATCAATAGTCATCGGGAAAATAAACTGTATTTTACTGGGATAATCTAAACCAGTTTTGAGAGTGTTCTCAATAAAAACTTCAAATGGCTCAACTATTTTAACCTTATCGGTGGTTATTGGAACTATTGTTATTAAGTTGTTAAATTCATTCTGAACATTACTGCTAATTATTAAGCAAGGGCGGAAAATTTTAGGAGTTTCTTTGGCCCTTTTGAACTTGACTAACCAAATTTCTCCTCTTTTAGGTATTTTTTTAGCTTTTTTCATTATGGAGGTAGTCGTCGGTGGTTTCGTCTCAAATGGCTAATTCTTTTTTTAATTTTTGATTTTTGGCTATTCTTTTATGGGTGGCAATTAATTGTCTTTGTAATTGCTCTTTTTCTCTTTTTTGCTCTCGAATTAATTCCTTTAATTCTTTTTCCACGGCCCGGTTGACAAAAGAACTAATTTTTCCATACCCGACCTTTTGTTTTAAATGCTGATAAGTGTTTTCTTTAATGGCAATGCTTAATGTTCTAGTCATAATAATTGTTAGTTGTTATATATTATTTTTACACCCTTCCCAACTTTTTATATTCGTTAAATTTGGCTCTCCGTAAAGGCTTCATGCTCCCTTTTCTTTCCTCTAAACAATTACCACATAAAACTTTTTCTGAAACTTTTAAACCCCAAAATCGCGGGTCATTCCGATTCTTAATTACTCTTTTTTTGCTGGCCGCAATAATACTTACCCCGCAAGTTTCGCACCAAGCATAATAATCACTATCTACCCTTATTTTTTCACTCTTTTTACAAGCACAATTTTTTAATTTCTCTCCCTTAGTTTTCAAAGAACTAGCAAATAATTGCTGTAATTCCTGGGCTTCTTGCTCTAAACAAACACAATTGCTTAAATGCTCCTTATCTTTTAACCACTTTCTCGCACAATTGGCATTGACCGGCAAGCAATCATGTTTATCCAATCATTCACTTAAATTAATTCCCCAGCGTTTTTGATACCAGTGGCTTTCCGTATCCCAAGTTAACTCACCGGTAGCTCGGCCGGTCTTTTTAATTAAGCAATCTCAGCATACTAACTGGCTTTTTTCTAATAAAGCATAAGCATTTACTTTTAAGCTGCCGCACTTCTTACAGCTTGCATATTTTCGTAACAACTTTAATCGCTTAACCCTATTTTCTTGGCCTTTTTGCTTATCTGCTAAAACTCTTTCTAAGGATAAATATTCTTGGCTGCTTTCTACTTCCTGATGATAGTAACAAAGGCAACAATAACCTTGTCATTCTTGATTACCCCCGGTTAAAATTTGACAAGGCTTTCTTTGTTTACAACCTAAGCAATAATAACTTTTAAATTGCTGTTTTTGTTTACTCATAAAAATTTAGATTACCGTAATCTTGCTATATAAAAATATTTTATGAAGTTATGAACAATTTAGTCCAGCCCAAGCAAGTCGTAAGCATTCGTATCAATCCCCAACTCTACCGCCAATTAAAAAGTGAAGTGGGACCGGGAAGAGTTAGTGCTTTTATTGAAAGATTAATTGCTCGTGAGTTAAGCGAACAAGAACAAAAACTCGCCCAAGAATACCAAGTTGCGGCCCAAGACAAAAAACGCTGATGAGAAGCTAAGGAATGAGAAACTGCCCAAATGGTTGACTGGGATAAAGGCGATGGTGGCGAAAAGGATTAAGCGGGGTGATATTTACCGGATAGCCCTAGACCCCACCGTGGGTAAAGAAATTAAAAAAACTCGCCGCTACGTAGTTATTTCTAATAATCAGCAAAATTATTATAGCCCCTTAGTTGTGGTCATTCCCACTACTTCGGATATGGAGAAACTTTATTCATGAGAGGTAGTTTTTCAGTCCGAAAGCAAACCCCGCAAAATTTTAACCGACCAAATTCGCACGGTCGATAAAGAGCGACTAAGAGGATATAAAGGCACCGTTGACCCGGAAATTCTAACTAAAATTGAAAAAGCCTTAGGAGTAGTTTTAGCTTTGCGGAGAGGATTTGTTCTTTCATCGGACTTAACTGGGATACCTACTAAATTATTGAAAGAGGAGTTGGCCCGGAGAGGATAAGCTTTTCTGTGCTTTTAAATTTCTTTAAGCCTTTTTTTGAGGGGTCTTTCTTTATTGTTTTTCTTTCCTCAACCCATAAATTTTCTTAATCACTTACAAATTATAAAATTTGATTATTTAATTGTCCTTTTATAAGTATTTTTAAACATTCACCACCGCCCATAGAGATATTTAAAAAAAAGTAGCAAAAAAAATTTTTCCTTATTTTTCAAAAAAAAAAAAAAAAGAAGTTTTTTAAAAATGGGTAAGTTAGGGCGAAAAGGTTAGGAAAGTAAGGAAAAAAGGCAAATTAGGTCAATATTTTAGCAACGAGCCCGGAGGGCGAGTTGAAAAGAGCCGAATTTGGAAGCCCCGGAGGAAATTGACGACTGGAAGGAGGCAATCCGGAGCGAAGCCGAGACGAAGTCGAGGCGAAGTGGGTGAGGAAAGAAAGTTCAATTTTTAGGGGGAAATGGGCGACGGAGGAGGTGCAAAAGGAGGTAAGTATGAGCCGTGAAGGTCGGAAAAAAGGGCTAAATAGGGGAATTTTTTTTTGCTACTTTTTTTTTAGAGAGGGTTATTTATTAGGGATTGAAAGGTTAGTTAGTAGAATTCATTCTTTATGTTCGTAAATGTTGTTCATAATAGACAACAATTATTTGTTTGTTCCCGGAGTGCCGTAAGGCTGGTTAGTGGGTTGGAGGGTTTGGGCAGTTTGCTCAGTAGAAACCTGGCTACTTTCTGAGAAATCAATTTGCAAGGATCGAGAAAACTGCTCGCTTAATAAATTGGTAATTTCTTTAGTTGGCAAAAGTCTACTATGATAAACAGCCCGAGAATGAATTTGACAAGAACTCTCGTTTAATGATTCTTGGTTCTCTGTCTCTTCTGCTTCCTTTATTTTTTGACTTTGCTGATAAAAATCGGATTTAGCAAGGTAGTAATCAATCTCACCAAATCAAGTTTCTAAAATCTTTTCTATTTCCTGAGCCGTTGGTCTCTTTTCCGGATTAGCATCTCAGCATTTTTTAATTAAGTCTTTAAGCAATTGAGGAGCTTGAACGTTATTTAGGTTCGGTCGTAAGCCTTGGCAGATTTTTAATCCTAGAAATTCATCATGAGCTACATCATAATAGGGGGGGGGGGGGGGGGGGTAAACCCGACAGCAATTCATAAGCCACAATTCCAAACGAATAAACATCACTAGCCTGGATATAAGTTTTTCCTAATAAAACTTCCGGAGCCATATAAGGCATTACACCAAAGATTTTTTCTTGACTAGTTTCATCAGCTGGCCGGCACAAACCTAAGTCAGCAATATAACAACACCCAAAACTTCCGCCGTTTAAGATATTTCCTGAATGAAAGTCTCGGTGAAGCAGTCCTTTTTTGTGAATTACTCGTAATCCATCTGCGATGCTATATAACTGACTAAATTTATTCCTAAAGCTAAATCTAATCCTATCCAAAAACTGTCTCATGCTACCACCTCTTATATATTCCATAACCATGATATAATCCTTGGTTTACTGAAAACGATATAAACTTGGATAAAGTTATTGAGAGACTTAAAGAATTAATTAATAAACCGCCACTTACTCTTAC